AAAAAAACGAGAGAGCGAAAGAGAGAGAGAGAGAGAGCATGTTCGCCTCTTGGCCTTTCACAGCGTCCACGACGACCCAAGACGTTCCCAAAACGCCCCCAAGAGAGCTCCAGGACGGTCATAGAAGGGCCAAAGACGACGCAGGAGGCCCCCAAGATGGCCCAAGAGAGCCCTAGGACAGGCCCCAGAGGGGTCCAAGAGGGGGAAAACAATGTTCAGATTTCGAGCCTTGGCACCAAGATGCCCCCAGGAGGCCCCAAGAGGCTCCCAAGTGGCCCAAAGAGGCCCCAAAGGGGCCCCCAAGAGGCCTCCAAGATGCCCCAGGAGGCTCCCAGGAAGCCCGCAGGAGATCCCCATCTGAGAGACTTCCCAAGCAACCTTAATAGATATCTACGAGACGCATCTGGTCCACAACCTAGGGTCGTTCATGCGGCGCCGCCTGATCAGCACAGATTTGTTTGTTGTTTTACGCATGCGTATGTATGTATTTACGCATGTATATATGTTTGCACGAGTGTGTGCCTGTGTTTATGGATGTGTTCATGTAAGAGAAAAGAGAAACCACTTGGTCTGGCGAAAGGCCCCACCCCTATGCAGCTGCGTGTAGCGCAGGGCGCAGCTCTCTCTCTTCAAATTCTGCGCGACGCGGGTAGATCGAATAGAGGGTCGCTGCGTAGCTAGCGCGCGTAGGCACGCTGAGCTCCTTGTGGGGCGCGATCCGCGTGAAGGGGGTGGCCGCCGCGCGAGCGCGCCCGCTGAGGCCGTAGGTGGAGCTCCTTTTGGAGCGCGATCCGCGTGTAGCGGCGCCGAAACGGGCGTGGGGACGCCATGAGAAGTTGCCCATAGGTGCCATAGATGGAGACCCTTGCGGGGTACGATCCGCGTCAGGGGTGTGCCAAAATATGCGGAGGGACGCGCCATGCGATCCCTCACGTTGGAGCCGTCGGTGGAGCTCCCTATGGAGCGCGATCCGTGTGAGGGGTGTGCCGAAATAGGCGTGAAGACGCCATGCGAACATTTTCTCTGGGGCCGTAGGTGGAGCTCCTTTGGGCCACGATCCCTGCCAATGCGATGGGTAACAGCTGCCCATATGTTCCGGGACACCTCTCTGCAAACGTCTGGGAATGATGAGAAGAGCAGGAGGAGGAGGAGGAGGAGGAGGAGGAGGAGGAGGAGGAGGAGGAGTAAGAAGAAGGCGAATCAGAATAGTAATAATACTAATCATGGTATCCTGGCGAAGGACCCAACCATACGCAATTGTGAGAACCGCAGGGCAGGTGGGACGAAGCAAGGGGAATTCCCAATGGGGCCACGAACCGTGTGAGGGGTGTGCCCAAATGGGGCGGGGCCGCCATGCGAACCCTGCCACTGAGGCCTTCGGTGGAGCTCCCTGTGGGGCCACGAACTGTGTGACGGGTACGCCAGAATGAAGCGGGGCCGCCATGCGAACGCTGCCACTGGGTCCTGCGGTGGAGCCTTCTATGGGGCCACGAACTGTGTGACGGGTGCGCCAGAATGAAGCGGGGCCGCCATGCGAACCCTGCCACTGGGGCCTTCGGTGGAGCTCCCTGTGGGGCCACGAACCGTGTGAGGGGTGCGCCAAAATGGGGCGGGGCCGCCATGCGAACCCTGCAGCTGGGGCCTTCGGTGGAGCTCCCTGTGGGGCCACGAACCGTGTGAGGGGTGCGCCAAGATGAAGCGGGGCCGCCATGCGAACTTTGCCACTGGGGCCTTCGATGGAGCTCCCTATGGGGCCACGAACCATGTGAGGGGTGCGCCAAAATGGTGCGAGGCCGCCATGCGAACCCTGCCACTGGGGCCTTCGGTGGAGCTCCTTATGGGGCCACGAAGCGCTGTACTGGGTGGGTGAAACGCAGGGAGGAGAGGGAGGCGGAGGAGGAGGCGGGAGGGAGGGAGGGACGCGGGGCGGTGTCTCTTCAAAACGAGGGCCCAACACCACAGGAGGGTTGGGAAATAACATTTATACGCATAAGAAAAATATACCAATAATCGTAATACGACGAAGAAAGAGGAGGAGGAGGAGGAGGATGAGGAGGAGGAGGAGAAGGAGGAGGAGGAGGAGGAGGAGGAGTACGAGGAAGCAGAAAGAGGAGTAGCTGCAAGCGGAGGAGAGGAGGAAGAGCAGGACATGGGACAGAACAACAAGGTGGAGAAGGAGGAGGAAACTCACGAGGAAGAGGAGGAGGAGGACGAGGAGGAGTGAACATAGAGTAACGCGGAGCAGGAGGGAATGACGACTGAGAGTAGAAGCAGGAGCAGGAGCACGAGGAGGATGAGGACGAGGAGGACGAGGAGGAGGAGGAGGAGGAGGACTAGGAGGAGGAGGAGGAGGAGGAGGAGGAGGTTGAGGAGGAGGAGGAGGAGGGAGCGGGAGGGGGAGGGGGCCGAGGCGGATGGAGACTCTGCAACGCCTACGTGCAGCAGAACTCGCAATGTCGCCGATCAGACGAGCGAAAGCGAGATCCGTAAGCTGTGGCGCAGCTGCGACTAGAATTCACGCGCGCCCCCCCCAGCGGGCCCCTCCCTTTGCACGACGGTGCCCTCCGGCCCCGGGGCGCTCCTGTCCCCGTGCTCCTTGCGGGGGGGTGTTGTTTGGCCGATCAGAGAACCCGTGGCCACATGCGGGATTCTTGATGCGGGGTACCAAGCCCCCCCCCCACCACCACAAGTCAAAGTTTGCAGCTAATTAGGGCGTTGATTCCTCTCGCACCCCCCTTCTCGTTGATAATCCTCCTCCTCCTATGGAGTGCGTTGGCGTGCACTGGCATGCATTGGCATGCGTTGGCATGCATTGGCATGCGTTGGCATACATTGTCATGCACTGGCATGCATTGGCATGCAGTGGCATGCGTTGGCATGCGTTGGTGTGCATTGGAATGCATTGGCATGCTGTGGCATGCAGTGACATTCGGTGGCATGCACTTGCATGCGTTGGCATGCACTTTCATGCATTGGCATGCGTTGGCGTGCTATGGCACGCGTTGGCATGCATTGGCATGCGTTGACATGCATTGGCATTCCGTGGCATGCATTGGCATATTATGGCGTGATTTGGAATGCATTGGCATGCATTGATGTCGGGCTTTCCCAACGGGTGGCTCTCGGCCGTGCCTGGAAAGAACGCGGGTGAGTTGGGCAGCTTACTGGAGCACTGAGGCTGTTTTGGCCGTACCTGGAGCTCAAATTCAGCGGCGAGGAGGCGCGCGGACTCATTAGGGGTCCGATTGCTCCTCTGAGGAGGACCGCTGGGCAGTGCGCGGCTACATATTCAGTATGTGTGCGGACCACTGCGGAGGCAAGTTCGCTTCCCCGACTTGGGATGCCACCCTGTAGGAGCTCGGATTTGACCATATCACTAGAGGGCATAGGGTGAGGAAGGGGCGGTGGACAGAGAAGGCGATAGAGAGGTGGAGCATCGACCGGTGCTCCTGCACCTCAACATCATTGCTGTCCTCCGCCCCCCGCTTTAGGCCGCGTGGCAGTTTTCTCGCATCGGCCAGACCCCGCTCCCCTAGGGGCTGAGGTGTGTGAGCCCGACCCACGGCCTAAGGGTACATCCGCGACAATCCTCCTACTCCTACGAGCGGTCTCCAAGATAGGGAACAAGGGAGGAGGATGAGGCGGATGAAACACAGAAGATGGGACGGGGGAGCAAGGAGGAATCAGGACGGAGGGGGGAAGGCGACGTTGAGGGGACTTTCAATCGATTGGATTTCAACCGATTGGCTTGCGATCGATTGGAGTGCAATCGATTTGATTGCAATCGATTGGATTTCAGCCCATTGGCTTGCGATCGATCGGTTTGCAAGCGATTGGATAACAACCGGTCGGATTGCAATCGATTGGACTGCGATCGACTGAACTGCGACTGTCTGAGTGGCAAGAGGAGGAACAAGAGCAGGAGGAGGACGATAATGCCCCCTTCCATTAGGAAAGCCTGAAACAGTTCTTTTGCTTGGTACTTTCGGTTTGCTGTCAGCTTTCTGTAGTCGTGCTCGGTGTTCTTCTCTTGGTTGCCCATGGTTCCAAGCAGCGGCGTTTTAGCGGGGCGGTGCGCCTAAAAGTTGTTGCCCGCTACACCCTCCCATCCTCCTCCCATTTTCCTTACTTCCTCCCCCATTGGAGCGCAATGCGACTGCAACGCGATGCGATTGCAACGCAACGCGATTGCAATGCAATGGGATGTGATGCGGAGGAGGGGGGAGGACGAGGATGGAGGAGGGAGGGGGTGGGATGAGGGGAGGGGGAGTTGAAGGGAGGAGAGGGACGAGGGATTGATTCCAATTCCTCGTCGCTCCTCCCTACAATTCCTCGTCACTCCTCGTCCCCTTATTTTCCGAACGCGCACGGGCGCCTGCGAAAAATCAGCGGCGCTGCGAACAAACAGCGGCAGCGTGGGAAACAAAATATCACAAAGCAAACAAGCTAGAACAAAAAGGGCTCTCCCGGAATCATTGTTTCTGCTTTGTTGTTCTAATGCCTTCGCTCTTTGTTTTCCGCGAAAGGAAGGGCAGGAGGAAGAGGAGTGGAGAAGAGAAACATAGATGCTTGAGTTTTTTTTTCTACGGCAGGGGAAAGCAGAGGCACCGATATGCGCACGCCCTATGTTGAACACGCACACATATATATATATATATATATATATATATATGTGTATACATATATACATATGCGTATAGGTAAGCGAACCAGACCCGGCGCTAATCGCAAACCGAAAGATGCATCTATCCCCATCCAACCCTCCTTATCACCCGAACGATGGTCCTATAGTAGGAAGCGGCAGCAGGGACACGCCCACTGACAAGGTTGAGGAGAGGAGGAGGCAGAGGGTGAGAGGGGTGGTGACCGAGAGGATGACAGTGAGGAGGCTGCATGTGACACCCCATCCCCTCGAGGATGCAGTGACGATAAGGGAGATGCATGTGGCACCCGATCCTCGCGAGGATGCATCTCTCACCCCATCTTCGCGTGCCCGACAGGAGTACAGCCGGCAGCTGGCCCAACAGCTGAACAACAGCAGTGGCAGCTCGCACGCGTCCCCAGCTGGAGGGATGGGCAGCTCTGCCGACTGAAAGCCAGGGGGGGTAAGGACGACACGGCCAACATCAAAGGAAGTCGTATTGGAATGGCTCCCTCGGATACCCTTGGTATGGTGGTCAATCAGCCTGTCGTGGTACGTCGCAGTCAGTTTCAGTCGAATGGGGGCAGGCCGATGGGAAATCAGATTTGCATAATCATGGACAGCCTGGCGCGGCGCTGTACAACTCCGTGAAGGTGTGTGACTGGATCAGAGGAGATGAAATTCACAACTTATATTTCATCTTCGCGACGTTCAAAACATGGCTCTAGCGTCTGCGCATTATCACGACGTCATGACTGACAGCACCCAGCTAAACAGGCGTGTCCACTTACTTTAGGTTTAGAGAATGGAGTCGCCTGTCTAGACATCGTATCCCTACCGTCGCCGCAGAAAGCACAGCGTCCCGCACGCTCCGCCCCACATGTCATGTGCATACATGTGCTAGATCGCCAGTTTCCTGTCGCAAATTCCGCCAACGTGCCAGCGCAGCATCGACGTGCATGCCGAACGGCTCTACCCAACTCTTCTGACCCGGCTCTGTTTAACCATGTTTCTACAGGTCCTTCACGGAACACGCAGGCGGTCGAATCAAGGTTTTGTGGGGTTCCCGCGAGCCCTTGGCACGCTCCTGGGTCGTCCTGGCCTTGAGATTTCTAACGAGTTCTCCCTAGCGACCACGGGTCTTGGTTCCGTCTTGGATTCATGATGAAGTTGTCTCGGGCTGACATGTGGGCCTTCTGGCCGTCTGAGGGTTCTTGCGGCAGTCTTGGGGCTTCTTATTTTTTTGGGGGACTGCCTCCAGCCGCCTTATTGGCGTCTTCGGGCGCTCTGGTTCTGTCCGACCGCCCGTCTTGACGCCATCTTCTGCTGCTGGGGAATGAACGAAACGTGAAAGCAACGTGCTGTTATCCAGTTGCCTGCTGCAGCCACAGCCACTGTGCCTGCGCATCAGCGTAGCAGGGAGAAGGCTGAGAGTAGGAACAACGCAATTCCGACGAATATTCTGCATTGGGGCGGGTCGTGATCCCGATCTCGTCTTCGTCCGCGCGACAAGGAGGAGGAGGAGGAGGAGGAGGAGGAGGACGAGGTGGAGGAGGAGGAGGAGGAGGAGGGGGAGAGAGAGAGAGAGAGAGAACATGCGGATGAGGAGGAGAAGATTTCGTGGGGCCTTCTTGGGGCCTCCGCGGGGCCTCCTGGGAGCTTCCTGACAGTTTCTTGGGGCCCTCTTGGGCTTGGGCCGTCTTAGGAGATTATTGGCCCGTCTGACTCTCATGGAGGCCGCCTTGGGGGCCTCTCTAGGCCGCGTTGGTGCTCTCTTGGGGCGGTTGCAGTTGTTTTTGGGCCCTCGTGGGAGCACCGTGGGCGATCCTCGGACCCTTTTTGGGCCGACTTGAGGCCATCTTTGGGGTCTCTTTGGGTTGTCTTGGAGCTGTCTTGGAGATACCTTAGAGGCCGCTTGGAGGCTTCTTGGGCTTTCTTGGGCTGTAGGAAACCCGAACAGGCGAGAACCTCACAAACTTCTAACACCAGAGGAACATCAATGGTTTTGGCCTCCAACACGGCTTTCCAGGAAGTCCTTTTGGAGCCTTTTTGGGCCGTCTTGGGGTTAGTTGAGATATTGTGAGGCTGTCCCGGGAGCCTCCTGAGTCGTCTTGGGCCATTTGGGCCATCTTGGTGTCATCTTGGCAGCCTTGAAAGCCGTCCTGGAGGCGGCTCCCAAGAAGGCCTTCAGGCAGACCAACAGGCCTCCAAGGCGGCCCAAGAAGTCTCCAAGAGGCCTTCCAGGTGAGCCCGATCTTTTGAAGAACTGGGAAGTTCTGACATGGTTGGGTTTCCGACCGCCCAATATAGCCCAAGAGGCTTCTCTTGGCCGTCTTGTTGCTTTCTTGGAGCGCTTCGTGGCCGTGTTGGGGCCCTCTTGGGAGCCACTTTGGCATATTTGGGTCCTTTTGGCCTGACTTGGGGCCCTCTTGCGGGCCTCGTGTGCTGTCTTGAAGCTATCTTGGATGCCTCTTGGAGGCGTCTTGGGCCGACTTGGGCGGTCGGAGACCCGAACAGGCGAGAATCTCACAGTTTTCAAGCACGCAGGGACTATTGATGGTTTGGGCGCCCTCTGGCTCTCCAGGAAGGCCCCCAGGGAGCTCTCTTGCGCCGTCTTGGGGGCCTCCTTGGGACGTCTTGCGGCCCTCCTGGGGGCCTGTTGGTCCGTCGTGGGGCTTTCTTGACGGGCTCTCGGGCCATTTTGGGCCCTCCTGGGCCGTTCTGTTGTCGTCTTGGCAGTCTTGGTACGTGGCTACCCTGGAGGCCCTCTTTGCCGTCCGGAGGCCGAGAAGGGCGCCGGGGAGCAGCTCTAGGGGGCGCGGTGTTTTAACCCCGCGTGCGAACCGAGGGGTCGACCCTAGAAAGTATTGAAAACCATTCCCAGAGGGACCACAGGACCATTCTTACACGCCCACTCCATGCCCAAGGCACGGCAGCGGATATTTTTTGCCCCCCCCTCCCGCCTTGCGTTGTAGATCAAGGTTCTGCGAGGCCAACTGGCGGTTCAAGGGTACCCTTTTGAGCCGTCTTGGGCGCGATGATTATGCCGAGCTCTCCGGAAAAAGGCTTGGTCAAACCATCTGCCGGCCGTATAATATCAATTTTGGAGCTATCTTCTGGCATACTGTTTATATTGAGGGCTTGTGAGGGTCCTCTCGGGGTTTCTGGGCGCCTTCTAACTGGAGCCTTTCTGATTCAGTACCAGGCGAAGCCGTCTTGGGGCGTCTGTGGGTTCCTCGGGCCGCTGTTGAGGCTCTTCTGCGCATGTCTCTAGCCGTCTTGCGCCTTCTTGGGGCGATGTGGTGCAGTTTGTGGGTTTGGGGCAGATGTCCTGAGGCCACATTAGGTCGAACCGCACAGGAAGCAAGCAACACTCACACATTTGCTTTGCCACGCACCCCTTGAATACGTTGGCCCTTCTCCCGTCTTCCTCCCGGGGAAATCTTTCCTCCGTCGACCCTTCTCTCTCATTGTTATACCGGTCCTCTCGTCTCCACTTTCCTCGGGTCATGTCTCTTCTTCTTCTTCTTCTTCTTCTTCTCCCCTATCTTCTCATCTCTCCTCCCCTCCCCACCAAGCCTTGTGTCACCCTTCCTCTTCTTTCTCCTCCATGATTCGTCTCCCTTGCGTCACCCCGCTCCTATTGGCCTCTCGTGTGTGCCGCCCGCGATTAATTGCGTGCTACTAAGCGGGTCAGTTTCCGAACTTTCTTGCGCCCATGGGCATCCAGACCTGGGAATCCCGGGGACTCCCTGGACTTCCCGGGGAATCTTGAGGAATCGCCGGAGATCCTTGTGGAATTGGTGGCTCGGGCTTTCATTACACTACTCCAGATTTCACTATAAAAGGGAGGGGGTCTGGACCCTCCAAGACAAGCCATTTCAGACCCCCCCCCTGTGGGAGAACCCTCCAAAGCATCGTCCCCAGACCCCCCCAGGCCCTCCAAGATAGCCTGGAAGAGACCCCCCCCGAAAGGAGACCCCCCTCCCTTTATTACGAAATCTGGAGTAGCAGTTCGGTTCGGTTCCAGACCCGGTGCTCGGTCTCAGGAGGAGGAGGAGGAGGAGAAGGGGGAGGGGGAGGAGGAGGAGGAGGAGGAGGAGGGGGAGGAGGAGGAGGAGGAGTACCGAGGAGCCCCACATACCTATCTTATATGGTATGTGTGCGCACCGAGCAGCAAGCAACTGCGACCCTCGATATGGGCACCCCGGCGCTCCGAGCTGGCTTGAGCCAGCGTGTTTACATCTCTGAATGTTGCAAGTGCAACTCCTCCTCCTCCTCCTCCTCCTCCTCCTCCCCTCCTCCTCGCTCCTCCTCCTCCTCCTCCTCTTCGCTCCTCCTCCTCCTCCTCCTCCTCCTCGTAGTCGAAGGCCAGACTGTCAGATTGGATTGGGCCCCAAGGGCCAATCTGGCCCGGCCAAGCTGGATGATCTGGGTGATTCGCCAGACTGGATTCGCGTTGGCTCCCTCGCCAGATTGCCCCCGTTTGCCAGATTGGGCCTGCCAGATTGGCGCCAGATTGGCTTCGACTACCCAGTGGAATGCAACGGCGAGAACTGCCCCCATGCGCACCCCCCGTGGCGTCGAGAAAGTGCCACGCCTGCCACGCCACGCGACCCTGGGACGCATAGAGACCGCGGTGAGGGACCACCCCCTGCGCACCCCCTCTGGTGTCGAGAAAGTGCCACGCCTGCCACGCCCCGCGACCCTGAGACAGATAGAGACCGCGGTGAGGGGCCACCCCCTGCGCACCCACTCTGGTGTCGAGAGAATGCCACGCCTGCCACGCCCCGCGACCCTGGGACGCATAGAGACCGCTGTGAGGGGTCACCCCTGCGCACCCCTTCTAGTGTCGAGAAAGTGCCACGCCTGCCACGCCCTGCTACTGTTGCGCGCGTGTGCTGCGTGATGTGCGTGTCATGGGTATGATGCGTGTGATGCTGTATCTGAACGTGTGTCTCATTTGGGTGCCCAGGATGTCTCATGCGTATGATGCGTGCGCGGCTGTATCGGGGCCTATGTCTCACGTGGGTTCCCATTACGTGGCGCATACGTCGTGGGTTTGAAGCAGTGGACACGCCAGGCGTGCAATGGTGTTGTTCGTGTGTGTGTGTGTGTGTGCGTGCGTGTGCGTGCGTGTGCGTGCGTGTGCGTGTGCGTGTGTGTGTGTGTGTGTGTGTGTGCGCGAGTGTGTGCATGCGTGCGGCTGCATGTAGACGCGTGTATCATGTGCGTGCCGTGCATGTGTTGCGCGTGGCCGAGGCGAGAGAGGAAGAGGAGGTGAGGAGGGAGGAGGGGGGGAGGTGAGTGGGTAAGTGAGACGCGGGTGCGCCGCGGTGGGAAACAAGCAAACCACTAACCATTTGACATGTTACAAGTCTACGATCCTGAACTTTTCAGGGCCGCATGAGCCTCTGGGCATATCAATATACGTGCTGCAGGCACGGTGGCGGATCTGGGGTTTCTCGGGGGAGTGCAATGGACTCCCCATCCTCCATTCTTTTAACTTCTAGATCATTCCTCCCTGTCACACCCCGAGGCCGGTCGAAAGGGCGGGCTGGTCGTTTCGCTTGAGACTTCCTCACCGCTTATGACCCTGAAAGGTAAAATTCGGCAACAGCTCTCGCCTCAGCGCCGCGCACATTCGTTGTAACATTTCGCAAGGGCTTCACGGATTAAGGGCGGGCCGTTTTCGAAATGCGGGTCTCGCCCTAGCGCAGCGCACACTCGTTTAAAGCATGTGAGAGAGCTTTACATATCCGAGTACCCCTGGAAATACATAAACCCCTCATTAACCCCTGAGAGTTTAATACCCCTGGCCAAGAATTGGTCGGGGAAAAGTGGCGGCAAGGCTGGTTTTCATTATCGCGGAGGCAAGTTGCGAATCGAAGTTGCGATCTTCGTACGTTGAGTAACAAGGATCCCAAAGGATTCCTACGGATTCCTCTGAGTGTCCTCAGTATTCCTCTAGATGTCCTAAGGATTCCTGTAGATTGCATACGGATTCCTATGGATTTCCTGAGGCATCCTATGGACTCCCTAAGGGACCCTCGTCCTCCTCCTTGCGCTCCCGCCCCGAACGTTGCTTATCCTTTGTGCGTTTTTAAAATCACCGCAAGCCGCCATGCGCCATTGAAAACGATTAAAATTGATAGAGTTTTACAAGGAACGATCCTAAGGTCCCGAATCGAAGTTGTTTTGGAAAACTGGTCATAAGGGGTTTCTCGTCCTCCTCATCCTCCTGAATCTAATGCGTTTCCTAAGCCATCCTGTGGAATTCCCAAGGAACCCGATGGGTTCCCCAAGGAATCCTACGGATTACCGACGGAACCCGATGGATCTCCTACTGAGTCCGATGCATGTCCTCAGTAATCACATTGATTTCCGAAGGAATCCCACGGATGTCCTAAGAAATTCTATGGATTTCATCGTTGTCTTCGTCTTCGTCATCATCACCACCTTCGTCTTCTTCATGATTATGCTGCGATCGTCGGGAAAACGATTATCCCCCCTGGACCCCGACATTTATTATTCTCACTGGATCAATATCAGGAGCACCGGGTTATTGAGGGCGGGCCGTTTTCAAAATGTGATTTTCGCTTTTGCGCCGCGCACGTCCATTTCTAACCTTTGCAAGAGCTTCACAGACTGAGGGCGCCCCGTTGTCAACATGTGGTTTTCGCATCAGCGCCGCGCACACTCGTCGTACACACTGGCAAGGGCTTCACGGATTGAATGCGGTTCGTTTTCAAAATGTGGCTCTCACTTCAGCATCCCAAAAGCTTCGCGGAATTCCATAGCCAACGTAGCAGAATTGGCGTTTTGGAAGGATTAAGGATTCTGAGGGTGCAGTTACGATGACTCGCGGTGTTCAAGTCCCAGGAACGGAGTTCTGACACGATTCAGGATCGTCAAGACGCAACGGTCAGGGTGATCCGTGGCGTTGGAGTCCCCAGCAGGGTGTTTTGACATGCGTCAGGACCTTCAAACGACTGCCTCCCAACGAGGAAGTTCCCACAGTGCAAATGGACCCCTGTAGGGGCCTATGAAGAGGGAGCTCGGAGGGAGTGTTTATCCCAGCATCGTTGATGAGTCCTCCTCCTCCTCCTCCCCTCCTCCTTCCCCCGCTCCTCCTCCTCCTCCTCCTCCTCCTCCTCCTCCTCCTCCTCCTCCTCCTCTCCTACTCACGGTCGAGCCCAGCCCCTCGACGCACCGCATCTGAGGGGCCAGAGGCCTGCCGAGGCAGGGTGCGCTCTGGGGATGGCGTGGGAGTCCAGCAGAGATAAGTCGTACCGCTTTTTCTCGAACGAAGGATTGCAAAAAAACCCAGGGCTTGTTTGCAATCCTTCGTTAAAGCGAAGGGTTTGTTTGCAATCCTTCGAGATAAGTCATACCGTTTTTTCTCAGGGCCGTTTCCTCCATGCAGGGGGACGCATGTGAAGGAAGGGAGGAGGAGGTGGCGGAGGAGAAGGATGACCTTGTGGGCGTGGGTAGGCGCCGGCGGCCATTCGCACAGCTACCCGAGCAACAGCGGAGCCGAAGCGGCAGGCGACCATTGTCTATGTTGTTTTTCTGCGTGGCCCCACCATTGTATCCAGCGCAAGAACAGCCGCACACAGGATCGTGACTACGAGCGGGAATCTGTGTCAACGATTTTCTGCGAGTATCGCTTGCAGCGATTGTGCTACACGCGTTCTCGAAGATATTCGAATCGTTGAGCGGGGAAGGGGCCTGGACATTTTGTGCATCGGAGGTTTTGGGGGAGAGATCGAAGTGAGACGGAGGCGTCCAACCAGAAAATCGAGTTCGGTTTGAGTTCGTGCCGTGCGTGACGTGCGGGCGAGGCGAGGCAAGGTTGTCAGAGTTTTTGCCCTAGTAGAGTCCAAGTCAGGTCAGAATGGATCGCCCCAGCCTGGGCTTTGTGTCGCGTTCGGGTGTGCCCCATTGGTTGTCCGCATGGTTGTCTCGATGGTTGTCTCGATCGTTATCTAAATGGATGTCCCGATGTTTGTCCCAATTGTTGTCCCGATGGTTATCTCGATGGCTGTCCCAATTGATGCCCCGATGGTTGCCCCGGTGGTTTATTTGATGGTTTCCCCGATTGTTGTCCCGATGGTTGTCTCGATGGTTGTCTCTATGGTCGTCCATATGGGTGCCCCGATGGCTGTCTCAATTCTTGTCCCGATCTTTGTCCCGATGATTGTCCCGATGGTTGCCCCGCTGATTCTCCCGATGCTCGTCTCGTCGGGTGCCTCGATGGTTGGCTCGATGGTTGTCCCGATGATCGCACCGAGGATTGTCTCGATGGTTGTCCCGATGGCTGTCCCGACGGTTGTCCCGATGGTTTTCCCGATTGTTGTGCGGATGGGTGTTTCGATGGTTGTCTGATGGTTGTCCCGATGTTTGTCCCGATTGTTACCCCGATGGCTGTCCCGATGCTTGTCCCGATGCTTGTCCCGATGCTTGTCCAGATTGTTGTGCCGCTGAGTTTCCCGATGGTTGTCTCATCAGTTGCCTCGACGGTTGGCCCGATGGTTGTCCTGACTGTTGTCCCGATGGTCATTCTGATACTTTTCCCGATGGTTTTCCCGATGGGCGTTCCGATGGTTGTCCCGACGGTTGTCCCGAGCGTTTTTCGAGCCCACAATACTGAACATATACGCCCTACGAGGCCAGATTACCAAATAATGCGCTCTGCGAGACCATTGCGCAAAACGATGAGCCAATCGGGGCAGAACTACAAACTGCGCCCTGCGAGGAAACAATCTACAAGACTGCGCACCTTGCGGAGTAAACAACAACAACAAAACATGATACTAGTCAGATCGGTAGATTGGTAGACAATGAGACGGGTATACGACACACACATATATATACATATATACTCACATGTACACATGTACATACATATATACATCTTGACAGACAGGTAGGAAGATGGGCAGATCGACCACGCGCCACGATGGTTGTCCCAATCGATCGGTAGTTAGATCGACATATCGATTGGCAGTGAGAACTGCAAATAGCCATGCCAGTAGTTCATGATACCGACAGGTATCACGTACATATAAACATACAGGCAGAAAAGTTGATGAACATACGTATACACGTGTATCCATGTATCAACACGTTGAGATCTATGGGGACCATGGGACGTATATACACATGCTCGTGTGAAAGGAATCATAGGCCGATACATGTATGTGTATATATACATATATACACATGGGCAGGCCGACGTATACGCATGTATGTATAGGTAGATTGAACAATTATTGGTGTCCCGACGTGTGTCCACTCGTGAATTGAGTTGCGCGTCCATGCACTTCGCAGAACGTCACCTCCTCCCAACCTCCTTATCAACCAAAGGGTGGCCTATGAGGTAATGTCAAACCACATTGCCTTTCAATGCGTTGCCCTTCGCGGGACGTCGGATCGACTTCGCAGTGCGTAATAGCAAGCCAGAGGGCAAGCGTCGCATTTTTAGCATATCAGCGCGAAAAGTGGTTCGCCATGTTGAGGCTCATTTTGTTGTTCGGGGTATGGTGCCACATCGGCCTCATGGATTGTTCTGTCGTGCCAGTGAAATGGCGTGCCCATGCTCTCGACCATATTCCCGTCGTCGCCCCCAAAAGTCCTTCCCGTCAAAAAAAAATGGTCGACCGTCCTGAGCGTGCGTACAGGTAACGTTGCATTTTGTGGCAATGACTCCTGACGCGCAGGACGGCGCGACGACTTCCGTACATACAGTAGCGCCTTCTGTTGCACCGCCAATCGACGTGGTACCGGAAGACCCCCCTTCATATTTTCGCGACACCTTTTTGGGTACGCGTCCTGGATTGGGGTCCAGAGGCGCTGCAAGTGGACTCGGCGTGGATGCCAGAGTTCGCGGCAGCCTTTCGTATTGTTACGCAAGTGCACGGTTTTGTCTTTTTTTGAGAGTCTTTGCGTCCATTGCACGACCTGTTGCCATTGTCTTATCCGCCTCCTTCCCTTGTCCTATTACTCAATTTTCAGCCCACTTGTGTTCGCCGTCGGTATCGGCCTGGTCGGTTCACTGCCAGCACCCTTTCCATCGCAAAATCACGTACAATAGCCAGTGGGCCCTTGCGCGAATCTATGGTTCCGCAGATGGACGCCACACACGAGTACAGCCGGAATGTGTCATCCGAGCTCATGCTGACAGACAGCACAGAGGAAAAGGATGGACGACATGAGATCGTATTGTATGTGTTCTCAAACAGATGTGGGCTCAGCGAGTGCCGTGGGAGTCTAACACACCTACAGCGTGATATTTTGAACAGGCTGGTACGAGCCGCTGAGAGGATGGTATCGACGTAGCTCCGAGTTCTCGACCCCCGCCTCTTTGTGATCCCGCGAGGGGCCGAGATGGTGCCCATACCGCTCGACGAGTCGGACTCGGAATTGGGTGGCCCTTATCACCAAATGGAGTGTCGGGGGTGGCGCCTCCTCGTGTGCTCTGATCTGCAACGTGTCGGTGGCCACACTTTGATCTCATGCAAGCTCCAGTTGACGAGGTCGATGACGCTCAGATCGAAGTCGTGTCGACGCATACTGGCATCAAGGCACGCGAGCCGCATGCGCAGAGCACCTCTGCCTGCATGGGTTTCGTCGCGCGGCGCTCTCTCTTGCTGGCACTCTGCTCCGAAATCCTAGAGGCGCGCGGAGGTTGCGGAGCCATCATTGGTCCAGTGAGCGGTCGTGATACAGAGGGGAGCAGGGTCATGAGGAAGACGGGTGTCGCGTGTTCGCATCTCTGAGGTAGGGTTTCTTGCGCACCTTTGGTGGTATCGCTCTTGCGAGACGCACGTCTGTGTCATGGTCTTGAGCAGAAAGCATAACCACGCTGGCACGCCCGCACGCGAGATAGCCTTCGACCGCGTCTTCCGAGACGTCCCCTCGAAACGGCTGGCAATCCCTCACTCCGAGTTGCCGAGACCAATGCACGAGGTGTTCCAGAGAGCGTCTCGCCCTCGAGGGATCTGATGACGATGATGATGCTGATGATGATGATGCTGATGCTGATGATGATGATGATGATGATGATGATGATGATGATGATGATGATGATGATGATGATGATGATGATGATGATGATGATGATGATGATGATGATGATGATGGGGTCGTCTCCTCCTCGTGGCCGGAGGGCGGCGGCTTGCCCGTGGGAGGGCGGTGGGCATCCACGGGGGGGGCGGTGCCGTTGGAGCACGGCCAGCAGAGGCCGGCGGGAGCAAAACACGCGCCCCAAGAGGTGACAGCATGTTCTCAGAGCCCCGAACCACCAGGGGTAGGAGCCTCTTTTTTTGGGATTCAGGCAAGTTTACTTGCATGGCGTTCGCCCCCCCCCCCCCCTCCCCCCCTCGCCCTTCTTGAAGCGAGTACTAGCGTGCAAGTGCCTTTCGACTTGCGTGATTTCCGCGCCCCCCCCCCCCGGGCTTGCTTCAGGCTCAGCCCCCCCCCCGTCCATGCAAGTAAACTTGCCAGAGTCTAAAAAAGAACAGGCTCCAGCTCGGGTCAGGGCTAACTCGGGGTTGGTGTTGTCGGGATTCCGAACCCGACTTACCCCGGGCCCAAGTTGCCCCGGATGATTCGGGCGTCCAGAGCCCCGAATCCTCAGGGGTAGCTCGGGTCAGGGCTAACTCGGGTTGGTTTTGTCGGGATTCCGAACCCGACTTACCTCGGGCCCGAGTTGCCCCGGATAGTTCGGGCGTCCAGAGCCCCGAATCATCAGGGGTAACTCGGGTCAGGGCTAACTCGGGTTGGTGTTGTCGGGATTCCGAACCCGACTTACCCCGGGCCCGAGTTACCCTGGATAACTCGGGCGCCCAACGTTTTGATTCAGGGTTTCCAAAACCGGCGATCATCTGAGCCTCCACTGCAACGTCTTCCGCTTCCTCGTGCGCCTGGAACTCTACGCACCCTGCCAGCGATGGCAATCTAGGGCTCCCAGATGGGGTCGGAGTAGATGGGGTCGGATGATCGAGCCGCATCGCCGATGCATCGCCCGTGCGGCTGGATGCAGAGCCCGATTTTCTTCACGTCGATGTCGCCCGATGCATCGCCGACGTCGACGATGCATCGCCGGTGCATCGCCGATGCATCGCCGATGCATCGCCGATGTATCGGCGATGCGGCGCGACCCTCCGACCCCATCTATTCCGACCATCTAGGAGGCCTCTAGACCATCTAGTTTCAGGGTTTCCGAAACCGGCGATATGGGAGCATCCGCTGCAACGTCCTCCGTGTCCGCGTGCGCCTGGAACTCTACGCACTCTGCCAACGATCGACGGCAACCCTCACCACCCACCAAACCACCCCAACCCAACCCGAAGGCCTCAATTTGCCTTCCGTTTCCAGTTGGGGGGGGGGTCGGGGAACATCGAAAAAGCATGCATGGAACCCGTACCCCCCCCCCCACCCGAAATTGGGGTCTTCGGGTCGGGTTGGGGTGGCCTGGTAGGTAGTCAAACCCCACCTGGATTCCGAGGGCGGCCTCCCCAGAGTCAGAGGGTTGTCAGGGAGTGGCTCGCTCGATGCCACCCGCCGCCCGCAGCAGGCGCGGCACGAGGGGGGTAGCGAGCGCAGGCCAGCGCGGGGCGCGCCCTGCGCGGGGAAGGGCGGAGCCGCTGCCTGGAGATGTTGGGATCCTCGTCCTCCTCGTCCTCCTCCTCCTCCTCCTCCTCCTCCTCCTCCTCTTCGTCTTCCTCCTCCTCCTCCTTCTCCTCCTCCTCCTCCTCCCCCTCCTCCTCCTCCTCCCCCTCCTCCTCCCCTTCCTCCCCGGCGGGGGGGGCGCTGCCCCGGCGGCTCTCGCCCAGATCTCGGGTGCTGCCAGAGGTGCCCCTGGCCCAAAGTGCCCCCAGGATGTCCAAGGAGGTCCCCACGGCCTCCAGAGCACCCCTCACGAGGCCCAGATGGGTCCCAGGGGCTCCCACGTGGAGCGAAAAGCCGGGGGCACCTTGGGCCGGGGGCACCTTTACCAACCCCCGAAGATTACCCCGTGGCCACCGAGTGGTTTTCCTCCGGGCTTGAATCAGAATGGCTGCAGGGGAGGAGGAGGAGGAGGAGGTGGAGGTGGATGAGGAGATGGGGGAGGAGGAGGTGGAGGTGGGAGAGGAGGAGGACGGAATGTGAGGCCACACGGACAATTTTCATAATGAGGCAGAGGAGCAGCAGGATGATGATGAGGGAGGTTCGGCGGTCAGCTAGATGGACAGGTGAGCGGGGAAGTCGCACAGAAGTTAGATTGTACACCGCCTGCGCTTCTATTGTACAGCTGCTGTTGCACTGCACTTGCAATAGACGCAGTCGTCTAATTTCTATGTGTCCGCTCTGGTGATATAGGTGTCGTGCGACTTGGTGCGATGTTCGGCCCATCGTTTGGCAAGCAAGGGATAACCTGTAAGCTACAGGCAGATGCTCTCACTGTCGTGGACCATGCCACTTTAGCAGAGAATAGCCCACGCCTTCTCGATACGTCTGGCACGGCGGATTTGCGATAACCGCGTGCCCCACATATTAAAGCATCCCGCCTTAACGCTCTAGTAGCTATTATCTCCGGCCAAGACAGAGTAGGTCGGGGAGAGGGGCGGCAAGGCCGAACTTCATTATCGCGGGGAAAAGTTACGAATGGAAGTTGTCGCTTCTTCGTATTACGACTACTACCACTACGAGTACGACTTCTAGTATTATTCTTACGTTTACGTATACTAATACGACGACGACGACTACTATTATTACGACTACGACGACGACGACGACGACGACGACGACTACTACTACTACTACCACGGTCACTACATCGATTACGACTACTACTAATACTATTCCGACTACGCCTACGATTACGACTACAGCAGCTACTACTATTACCCTTGCTAGTACTGCTACCACGACTGTTACTACTACGGCTACCACTACTAGTAATAGTATTGCTACTTCTACTGCTACTGCTACTACACGTATTTACTTAGACTGCCACTTTTATCGTTACTACTCCAACTACGGCTAATCGTATCATTACTCCGACTACGACTACGACTACGGCGTTTACGACGACTATTCTTATTACTACCATTCACGCTACCACACTTATTATTTCGATTCCCACACCAACTGCTAGTACGTTTACTTTTACTTCTACTTTTACGACTCGTACTATTACTACTACTACTACTACTACTACTACTACTACTACTACTACTAGTACTACTACTACTACTACTACTACTATTACTACGACTACTACTACTACTACTACTACTACTACTAGTACTAGTACTAGTACTACTACTACTACGACTACTACTACTACTACTACTACGACTACTCTTACTACTACTACTACTACTACTACCACTACTTCTACTACCACTAGTAGTGTTACGACGACTACTACTATGAGGACTAGTACTACTGCTGCTACTACTACTACTACTACTACTACTACTACTACGATGAGCAGTATTACCCCACTACGACTACGACTGCGACTACGACTGTCGACTACTACGGCTACTACTGATAGGACTACAGTTACTGCTACGAGGACGACTAAATAAGTCTACTACTCTCATCATTATAACTACTATTGAGACTTCTACGGGTACTACAGTTGCTGCTAACACTTGCGATTGAGTCTACTACGACTACTGCATATACTTCTACGTTTACTACCGCTACGACTGCTACTACTACTACTACTACTACTACTACTACTACTACTACTGCTACTACTACGACTACTACTACTACCACTACTATTACGCATACTATTGCTTCCACTGCTACCACTACGACTACGATTTCTCCGAGGGCAAGTATCGATACTACCACTACTAGCAATGATAATAATACTGGTAGTCACAGTATGAGTACACTTACTACTCATGGTAGTACTACTTCTACTACTAATAGTACGATTGCTACGATTACCACTACTACCACCACTACTGCTACTATTACAGCTACTACTACTACTACTACTACGACTACTACTACTACTACTGCTACGAATACGATCCCTAGTAGCAGTAGTAGTACCATTTGCAGTAATACTGCTACTACGACCATTACTACTAGCACCAGCATTCCTCTACCACGACTATTTCTACCACTACTCATTTCACAGTGGATATACTAATAATACTATTTCTACTACTACTACTACTACTACTACTACTACTACTACTACTACGACTACTACTACTACTACGACTACTATTAGTACTACTACTACTTTTACTACGACTAGTACTATGACTACTAGTACTAATTCTACTACTACTACTACTACTACTACTACCACTACCACCACTACTACTACTACTAATACTACTACTACTACTACTACTACTACTACTACTACTACTACTACTAGTACTACTACTACTACTACTACTACTACTACTACTACTACTTCTTCGATGTCTACACCTACTACTACTACTACTACGAGTATGTATGCATTATTGGTACTACTATTATTACTACGATTATCACCACCAGTACTACTACTGCTACTACTACTACTACACCTACTACCACTACTACTATTACTACTACTACTACTACTACTACTACTACTACTACTACTACTACTGCGACGACTACTGCTACGACTACTACTACTACTACCACGACGACGGCAACGACGATTACTATTACTACTACTACGACTACGATTACTACCCACTTTTTCTACGACCACTACTACTATTACTACTACTACTACTACTACTACTACTACTACTACTTCTACTACTACTACTACCACTGCTACGGCTACAACTACAACTACTACTACTACTACTACTACTACTACTATTGCTGCTGCTGCTGCTACTACTACTACTACTACTACTACTACTTCTACTACTACTACTACTACTACTACTACTACTACTACTACTACTTTTTCGACTACTACTACTACTACTACTACTACTACTATCCATTCTTCCCACTCGTACCCTCAAACTTATTATCCCAGGCGTTTGTTTATCACCCGAAACGGGCTTCCATGGGCTCCTCCTCATGTGAAGTAGAGTTCTAGGTTTTACACAGAGGAACACAATGTCGCGAATCAGTTTTTTGGGGAAGACTTGTCCTGGGGCCTCTCTCCTCTCCCATCTCTCCTTCTCCGTTCCCCTTCTCTCTCCTTTCCCTTCCCCTCCATGTGATATGTGTTGCAGGGCTGGGTCGTCGTCGTCGTCGTAGTCGTCGCCGTCGCCTTTGGGCGACGACGACGGCGACGACGACCTCCACGTTCCTCCTCATGCATCCCACGCACGACTTGCTGGCACAAATCGCTTATTTTCTCCGCGGCCCCGAACTTTATAGTTCCGTCCATGTGATTATCTGGGGTCCAGGGTTACCTCTTCAAATTGGCACGATCTCCGCATAGATGGCCCAAGGGATGTGGAGCCCAGGAAATCACTAGAATTGTGAATGGGCGCAGTGATTTCAGACTTGACCGCACGTGCGTTAGACTCTTCGTCAGAGTGCACTGGTTTGACAGACTGGCTTTGCTTGCTTGGGCCAAGGTTGTATAATGAAGTAGGCCGTCGGCTCATCCTTGCTGCTTCCGGGGCTGGATCATGCGTCGCAGGGGAGCTCTCGAACCGGTTTCCACAAGTATTTGGTAGCCAGCCGGATGCCGGACGCGCCGGTGTAGGCCGCATCTGGGGCCACGGGAGGGGCCCCAGGCCTTCGCGTTCCCTTCTGTTTTGGCTTTGCGAATGCAGTGGAGGCCCATGCCAAGAGGCACCCTGCTTGCCTCCAGGGGGCCCTGGGTTTCTTGGGTTTCGATGGTTCTGCGATGGAAAAAGTGACGTCCCAACACCAAAGGCGTCCTGGGGTCTCAGGGTTGGGTTTCTTGTGGGGAAGTTTCTTGTGGTCGGGCCCCCACTGTAGGCTTCTCTGGTTCCGTCCCCAATCCCACACACAGCTGAGAGCCGTCTGCCGTTCCGCTTTATGCAAGCAGGAAGGGACGCAGGACGACGAGGGCTACCGCGCGCCAATGCGGACTGGCTACTCGGAGGGCTACGGGTTCAGCAATGTCATCACGTGTGATTTTCTTTCCTATGCCACTGATTCGTGCTGATCGTCCCCCTTCTCTACACCTTCACTTGCGATGGTGCTGTGTATTCGAGTTTACTCCCAGTGTCTTCAACCTACGCCAGGGGAGCCAACCACCTCATCTTCCCATTCACGATGCTTCTCGATATCCCTCTCATCCTCGTCGGATTCATCCTCCACCTCCTCCAACTTTTCGACGGGCAATCAGCGCGCAAAGAATTGAGCTACGGGCGCTCCTCTAACTCAAACCTCGCCACCTCGCCATCTGCTATGGGCTTGTGCTAATTCTGGCAGGGCATCGGCAACGCTGCAAGGGCAGGACAGTTGCGGGCTCTACCACTGTTTCCACAGTTGTGTTTGAGGCCTTCCCCGCACTGTCGAAGTCCACATGTCCAACTCTAACCTCGGACAGGCGCACAGTGGGATGCCCAGGGGCCTTTCCGGGAGGAATGGTCTAGCAGGGGACCGTGAGGCATCGATGGATCTTCAACGACTTCCAGCCTTTGGAAGAGGTTCCAAGTCTCATGGGGTTGCCTTGCTTGGATGCCCTCTTCCAGTTACCGGGTCAAAGTATGCGACGTGCGTTATTGCAGAGGCCTTTCGGCCAGTTTTACCAACCCCCGACCCTGAAAAGAGCGCAGTTTGGGCGCAAGAGGCGAAAAGGGGGGACGTGGGGAAGGGGTAGTGGCGGGCTTCAAGGAAGCGCGAACATCTATCGGCATTCGGCCCATCCCGCCATCACGTCAGAGTTGTGTTTCAGAAGCCTTAGAGACTTTTGCGGGTTTCTTTGGGGCCGGCTTCGTAGGTTAGTCTTCCCCAGGGTGCAATCTCGAACGGAGTCAAGCCGCCGCATGGCATGAGGGCTTCTTGGGGGCTTCTTGGGGTCCACTTTGGAGGTCTGGGGTCTCTTGGGAGCCTCTTGGGGGCTTCTTGGGATGTTGAAGGGGTGGCTTCAGCGGCGCGTCGGTGGCGTACTTTTCAGGCACCTCTCGGGGCCGCTCTCTGGGCCACTTGAGCCAGCCTTATGGGCCTCTTGGGCCGTCTTGGGCTAGTCTTGCGCCAGCTCTCGGGGCCTCTTGGACCGTGTTGAACACTGATGCGACGAGAACGGCAAGATTTTTCGACTCGCTCATTCACCTGAAAGGTTCACACGACTGGCCTTCAAGAAGGCTGGAGTGACCATCGAAGGGCTGCAAGATTGTCGAGGTTGGCCCAGAGATCACTCTATTGGCCCCAGGTGCGCCGAAGAGGGCTCAAATGGCACAGAGATCGCCCGCGTCACTGGGGTGCTCGCCCCCCAAGGCCCAGAACACCTCTGGCGGGGAAGGGATCAAAGGGAAGAGGCACCCGTCGCTTGTATCGAAGACCGATTTCTGACCACACCCACCTCTGGATCCTCGATTCTACGATAGGCCCTCGGGGGTGGAAGTGGGTAGTTGTTCCTTCCCCTGGGGCGGGGAAACTGCCCACCTCCACCTCTGGAAACCGCTTTTCGCAAGGCACCTCGGGAAGAGGGTGTGGTCAGAAATCGGTGTCCTATTTTATTCGAAGCGACGTAGCTCGATTTACATTGAGCTGGCGCCCCTGAGGAGGGCCCAGGGGGACCACACCGAAAGGAGGCGAAGCCTCAAGCGAGAAAGCCCCTCGCAGACGCCGACAGGGTCAGCTGATACATGGCGAGGTGTGCCCCACGATGCGCGCCACCTGTGCCACGTCAGGCCTAGAACAAATACTTCTGCCACGACCTGCGACAAGCTAGCATGTGGCATCTACGTGGGGGCATCCATGGGCCACTGGAGCCCGCGACTCCACGAGTAAGATCAAGTTTCTTCCATCTAGGTCTCCTGCATGGATGAGCGCCTGCTTGCTCTACTTGATGCCTCTCGCGATTGAGATTTGAGCCAGTCAGGGGTTCAGTCCCAGTCGAGGATTTGGGGGGGGCAGGGGGCTCAGGGGTTCTTGGATGTGTGTTCCCTTGGGAGCTCTAGAGCTGCACCTCGTGAAAGTCTAGCCATTCTAGGAACGGCTAGGTCCTGGAATCCAATCCGCTTGCCTGCGGTATACCTCTCCGTCGTGCCAGCACGGCATCGAATTGCATGCAGCACGGTTGTGCGTACCGAGATCTCCCGAATATGGTCGGTGGATACAAATTGAGGCGTTTACGAACTTCGGCTCCGATGTTGCAGCGTGACGTGGTTGTGAAGTTGCACGGATATGGTGGCGCTTCTTCGATGTTTTTGAGGGGATTGGTTGGGGCCATTGGGGTTTTGTCAAGGATGGTTTAGCCTTCTTGGCCGCGATGGCTCTGTCGAGTTCTCCCGACGAGGTTCGGTAGAACCATTCTGGGGCTGTCTGGTCTGGCCTTGGGGCCTCTTGAACTATCTTCTGGCGGTGTTGAGCAGGATGTGGCTCTTCTCGAGCTGTCATGGAGCTCGCTCGGGGAACTCTAGCGGCCGTCTGGGGATTCTCTACGTTTTCCGGAGGCCATCTCAGGCGGGACGGCACTGGGGAGTTTAGGTATGAGTTGTGCGTCGTTGTGTGTTGGCATCCAGGGGTGCTGCTGGAGGGTTTCTGGGGAACACCTTGTGATCTTCGTTTGGCTTCTCGGCCGTGCTGACGTACCGTCTCGGGGTATCGTGGTGCATTGGGCCGTCCCGGGGCCGACAAGTTCCGCTTGGGCCTCCAAATATGTTTCTTCTGGTGGTGCAGGGTGGATTCGGGTCTCTCCTTCGGGATCGCCTTCCTTTTCATCACGCTTATCAACATCGACGCTAGACTTAAGGGCAAATGTTTGTCTGACTTTATCTGGTGCGATCTGCGTGTACGTGCAGGGTGAACCACACTGCAGTGGACGCGCGCAGGGAAACAGTCATGTCGCATGAGAGCCAGCCATCATCGAAAACGCCTACGGCGAATCACCGCCGTCCCTTTGCCTTCTAGAATCGCCCATGTGGCCGAGCGTTGTGGCAAGTGCTCTGCCAAGCTATCAGACCATGTGTTCCCCCAACCGTTGTGGAAACCCTTCGGGAAACACTTGGGGGAGGATGGTGGGGAAGATCAGCAGGAGAGAGGGAGGTGGAGGAGGTGGAGGAGGAGGAGGAGGAGGAGGAGGAGGAGGAGAGGAGGAGGGGGAGGAGGAGGAGGAGGAGGAGGAGGAGGGGGCATCTTGGACGCCTCGGGGGCACTCGCGGAGCCTCCCGGGAGCTTTCCGGGAGCCTCTTGGGAGGCATCTTCGGGGCATCCTGTGGCCTCTTGGGGCCTTCCTCCTCCTCCTCCTCCTCCTCCTTCTCCTTTTCCTCCTCCTCCTCCTCCTCCTCCTCCTCCTCCTCCTCCTCCTCCTCCTCCTCTCGGGGGCCTCTTTGGTCGTCTTGGTGGGCGCCTGGCCCGTCTGACGCCGTCGGAAGCCGTCTTGGGGGCCTCTCTGGGCCGACCTGGGGCCCTCTTGGGGGCGCTCCAGGGCCGCCTTGGGGGCCATCTTGGGTGTCATGGAGGCCTCTTGGGCCGTCTTGGGGCCCTCCTGGGGCCGTCTTTGGGGCCCCTTGGGCAGTCAGAAGGCCATCTTGGAGGCCATCTTGGAGGCCTCTTGGGCGCTCTGGGGGCGATCTTGGGGGCCTCTTGGGACGCCTCGGGCCGTCGGAAGGCCGAAAAGAAGCAAATGCACAACTCCTTCGAAAACCTGAGGCAAATTAATGATTTTGGCTTCCCTGGGCCTTCCTGGAGGCCCTCTTGGAGGTCTCTTGGGCCGTCTTGGGCCATATTAGAGCCATCTTCAGCCGTCTTGGGAGCCTCTCTGGGCCGCTTTGGGGCTCCAGACGGCCCCCCAAAGGAGCCCAAAACGGTCCAAGACGGCACCCAGAGGGGCCCGAAACGGCCCACGAGGGCCCCAAGACGGCCCAAGAGGGCCCCAAGACGGCCCCAAGAGGCCCGAAGAGGGCCCAAAAAGGTTCCCAAAAAGGTTCCCCAAAAGGCCCCAAGAGGCTCCCTGGAGAGCCCCAAGACGGCCAAAGGCTTCCAAGACGCCCCAAGACGGCCCAAAAGGGCCCTCAGGCGGCCCAAAATTGGCCCACAAGGGCTCCGAAAGAGCTTCACACGGGCCCCCAGAAGACGCCCAAGAGGTCCAAGAGATGCTCAAGAACGCCATGGCTCCCATCAGCGAGCGGTGACGTCATAACACCAAGGCTCCCCAGAGCGCGGTGACGTAAAAAGCTCGTCAGACCAAGGCTCCCAAGAGCGAGCGGCAACGTAGGAGTCTCTGAACACCAGGGCTCCCAACGGAGACGGCGACGTGACGTGACGGGCTCTCCACACCAAGGCTCCCAAGAGCGAAGGGCGCCATGAGCCATCTCGGGCCAGTTCCGGAGGCGCTCTTTCCGTTCCCGTGCCAGCTCAGGTGACGGAAGGAGCGAGGCACGAGCGATGCACGTTGAGTTGGGGCGAGGCCCTCAAGGGAGGGGCCCAGGGGAGGGGCGCATGGGGGGGGCGCCCCGGCAGTAGTGGCCGCCAGGGGGCCGTTTCCCTTGTACTTTTTGTCGAGTGAAGCGGCTCGCGAGCGCCTTCCACTGCCAGTTTCGTCGTATTTTTTCGAGTGAAGCGGCTCCAGGGCCCCAAGGCGGCCCAAGAGGGCACCGAAACGGCCCAGAGGCAGCCCCAAGAGAGCTCCGGATGGCCTCCAGGCGGTCCAAGAGAGCCTCGAGACAGCTCCAGAGACCCTCCAAAGGGCCCTCGAGAGGGCCTGAGGAGCCCAAAAGCATTGATTTCCTAAGAGCGTTTGAAGGTTTTTCTGGTTCTCGCTTTCGGGCCCACACGAGCCCAACACGGCCCATGAGGTCCCAAAGCTCGCCCCAAGCCTCCCAAAGGGGCCGAAAACAATCCAAGAGGGCCCTCAGCCGCCCCAAGAGGGCCCCAAAACAGTTCCAGATGGCCCCAAGACGTCCCCAAGAGCGCTCCAAGAGGCTCGCA